GTTGATCATCTCTTACCTTAGCTTTCTTACGTTTCTTCATTGATCTCTTGGGTGATTTAACATTGGATCGTCCAACGGAGTCGGAAAGATCTTCAAGTTCATCCCCACTTTCTCCATCAATGACCAAAAGACCTTCACCTTCCGATGTTGAGCATCCATCATCAAGAATTGCCATGATCTTCTCCACACAAGATGATTTCAACTTGATCTTTTCTTGATCGACGCTCACATAGGGGAATATAGTCTTTAACAGTCATCTCGATGAAGTTGCCATTTGGATCCAACATGAATGGAGTTCTTCCGGTCGGCCATACAAAAGAGTAACCAAGATCAACGCATCGCTTCTCCATGGAGAGCACGGAGGGTGTGTCCTCCAAGATGTGAGCTTCTGCTGGTTCGCTAAATGCCTCGAACTTGATGCTTGAACGTTTGGTCGAACACGTTACCCCATTTGCTGTATGGAAGTTGACGACCTTGTCATCGTATGTTGGTAGGTCCATTCTACTTATTCGTGTGGATGAAATGAGATCATGACCACTTCCAGAATCCAATATGAATCTCTTATCTCTCTCCTCAACAGGAACAGTGATACACATTGTGTTGCCCCTTTTACCATATCGACCTTCAATATGCTGAACATAGTTTTCCACAAAAACTTCCCTAGACACCTCACCGTCCTCGATGTCGAGTCTGATCAGAATGTCCATACTGGGGCCGACGATGACCAGGACTTCATCAATGTCACTGTGTTCACCCCTCTCATCGATCAGAATAGCCATTGCTTTCGCTCGGCTCGAAGCTAACCTGCATGAATAAGACCATTGCTCGTCTTTCCTTACATGGTCAGTGGGCTTGCCAACTTTACCATGACCTTTGGGGATGGTTTGGGATTTCCGGCTGCACTTCACGAAGTCCTTCTTCACGTAAGTTTGAACTTGAGTTTTAGACTCATCAAATATGATCTTCTTCTTGATCACGTTCGATGCAACCTTATGGAACGTCCCTTCATCATCACTCCAATCATGGATAAGTGCAGGAGTAGCCTTTGAGCTTGGTGCTTCAGTGTTTGGAGCAGTGTTGAATAGATGAGGATCGTGGCGTTTGTTGCATTTGTCTCCATACCGACACTTGCCCTTAGCCCAATGCCAGCATGGTTCATCAATCTTCTTGGTCTTGTTTGCCGGAGATTGACTTCTTGGAGTTCCTGGCTTCCGACCGTTGCCTTTTGCATTCTTGTTCGCATCAAATACCTTTTGGTCGTGACTGTATTCACAATCCTTGCCTTTTCTGCATGCTTTCTTGATGAAATGGAAATGGCATGGGATCTTCTTCTTGGATCTGGGGCTGGTACTTCGGCTGTTTGCTCGATCCTTCCCTTTCCCTTGACCTTTTCCTTTTCCTTTCGCATGCTGTTTAGGCTGAGGTGATGGTAGAACTGGAGCTGCATCGGCCTTGGCCTTCGCCTTGGGCGCTGCCTTCTCCTTGGGAGTAGCTTTAGGCTTCGCTTTTGGATTTGCATCCGGTGCAGCGGCAGTTGGGTTCGGAGCAGGAGCTGAAGGTTTGCCGCCGCCTGCAAAGTCTCTCGCATACTTCTCTCTGGCTGCCACATGCTTGTCCTCTCTGATTCTGGAGATGTGCCTTTCGATGACATCCAACAGGTAGCGATAATTTCGTCTTTGGTCTCCTTCCATCCATGACTCGTACTGCTTGATGTCGAACATCATAAGACTCGAATTTCGAATCTTTTTGTATAGAGCGTCACGAAGCCAATCATCAGGAGGTACGTCATCCGGCATCATGTTTGATACCATCTCCATCCATTTCTCGTAGAACACTTCTAGGTTCGAGTCACCGAGATACTTCATCGATACGATGTGTTCCATGGTGAAGGATGTTTCTCGTTGACCTGGGGTTCTGAAGTGCTCCAGAATCATAGCCAAGATTTCCCGTCCCATGACATAGGTTCCTCTTCGGTTATGACTTTGTGTTCTCAATCTCAATTTGATCGCTACATGACGAGCAACATCACCGGCTTGGGCTATCACGTTTGACAATGCAATTGACAACTTGGCGTCGATGGACTGATACCGTTGCCCCCCACTGTCATTCAACAGCTCGATGTCAGGATTTGGTCGAATAGCCGGCTGTAGCCATGCTTCCCATGCGGCTTTATCCCCGTCATTTGCCGAAAGAACAACACTCTTGATGAGATCTGATTGCCAAACCCCAAGATTCTGTTGCTTTGGCCATGGGCTAACATAGACTTTGTCAGCCTCTCGTCTTGACATTCTCGGTACTTCTTCCGCAGTGTAAGCCGCTGTGGAGACATCATCTGCTGAATCGCGTTGTGATCCTCGAACTGAAGGCAAACCAGGAGGTTCAGGAGGTGGTCCTGGACCGTTAGGCCCGAAAGGGTCCGGAGGTCCATCAGGGTCAGGCGGACCGCCCCATCCACTCGGTGGCTTGTAATAGTCCCTCTCAGTTCCGCCAGCGATCTTGTTGTCAACCTCTTTCAGCAGATCAGCGATTCTTTTGCTTGATTGAGAATGCTGTTGTTGTTGAGGTACAGCATGCCCACGATAGGAATGAGCCACATTTGTCTCATAAGTCAACTCCTTGTCGATCTGCGAAACCCAAGATTTCAGAATAGCGTTTTCACAGTTAGCCTCACTCACGTCATTCTCCAGTTTGTCGATGACCAGTCTGGATGCGAGATCGGAGTTGGGAATGCCTGCCGAATAGGGAAGTGTGTCAGGACTGATCCTAGCCATAGATGTTTCAGAATCCTTGAGACTTTTTCTCAGTTCATCTAAGTGACGTTTCATGTCAACAATCTCAGAATTCTTGATGCCAATCTTTTCATCCCTATCCTGGATTTCCCCATGAACATGCATGATCTCTCATATTGTTGAACACCACTCGCCAATTTCAATTTTCGCTCACTCTCTAGTTCAGATCTTAGAGTTCGGACCTCAGCATTGGTGAGGGACGACGCCCCTACATCCGCAACTTCAGCCAGCCTTTCTTTTAACAACAAGTTCTCTTGTAAACATTCATGAACTTCATGATCTAGATCCTGAACCCTGATTTGAGCGATCTTAGCTTGATTACGTAGATCTTCAACAAGCATCTCTTCGGGGCCACGACCGTCGGTCGTAGAACCCTGAGTCAACGATCTTCGTAACTTCGTGTTCTGCAACTTGATTTCATCCTTCAATTCGCAGTTCATCTTCTGCTCGTTGGCATAGAGCTCCTCATAGTGCTCTGCCCTTGCGATCGAGTTTGCACTAGCCTGTGATTCAAGCCTCAGGTGAGATATTGCTTCGGCCTCTTGGTTCCTGTATGATGCAATTCTTCTGACGGTATCATGTTCAGTGTTTCGATGCTTCAGATCACTTTCCAATTTGGCCTGATTTGCCTCGAACACCTTCTTCCTAGATTCTCTAGTGATCTCATCAATACTGCTCTCATACAGCTCGGCCTGTTTACGAGACTGAACCAAAGCTTCACTCAATAGCTGATTTCGCTCAGATAATTCATGAACTGCAATTGATTGTTGTTGGCTAATCACTTCAAGTTGATTACTAGAGAAGGATGCCATTTCAGATCGATTACGATATTCCATGATTGAGTTCTGGAAATCATTTTGCATTTCTTGACCTTCATTGTATAGTCGATTGGCAATATCGGTGGTTAAGACATTGGTTTGATGAAGTTGTTGTAGTCTTGCCTCCGTATTACCCAGTAGTCCTTGAAGGTGATGTACCTCATCCTTGTACTCCTCCTGGATCTCCATACCACGTTGATGGATCCGTCGTGCACCATGTTCCATTAAGGCACCTCGGCGTTCAAGGTCTTGGATGCGTATTGTTGCACCTTCGTCTTCCTGAGATGCTACCATTAGTTCTGCTTGATATTCTGCAACCTCATTTGCGGAACATGACAATCTATGATTGAGTGCATTGACCTCATCAAATACATTCTGATTGTGTTCCCAAAGATACTCAGTGAATCTGATCTCGATGTCATGAATCAGTTGATCCCTGGATGCAGCGTATGCTTCCATGTTGTTCAGCTGATTACGTAGGGATTGACATTGCGCCCGTAGTTCCTCTATCATGGCAATAGGTTCACTAGCCACAGAAGTATCCGTTGATCTCCTCTTAACACGACTATCCCCGGTCCTCTCACCAATTCGGTCGGTCACGGCCCTGGTGGATCTGTCCCTTGGAGTAGTACGTCCTCGAGATGGTCGATGCCCTTGGCGGACAACATCACTCCGAGCACTGTTTCGAGAAGATCTAGGTGTACTTTGGGTGGATATTCTTCGTCTGTTTGATGTGACTTGCCATCCGGACTGTGTAGTTCGGGTAGAGCGTATCCCGCCACTGTCTGCCGTGTCGCCAGGGGAAGATTGATTGACCTCCTCGACCGGCATAGCAGCGTTCTCATTGAAGGTAAACTGCGTGGTGCGCGAATCTCCGCTGCCACCTTGCATCTTTGCGATGATGAGCTGATTGGTCCTTTGCGTCCTCAATCAATTGCTCAGACGGCCCGGCTACCAGCACGCAGGTACCACTCTCCCGGCGGGAGAAGTGAGCCCTACGGCTGATAACCTGTGAACAAATTGATCCTTGTTCTGGATTATCCCTTTTGTCTGTAGTACCAGTAATGCTGATAGCGCCGGGCAATCTCAGTGCATGGCATGCGGACAGCGTTCTTATTTTCCTCGCGCAGGACTTGAGCCAATATCATTGGCGGTCCATGCATGACTGTACACATGTTCATCATGTGCAGCTACACTGTTACCTCGTTCCCCTTCGCATATATATTATATATATATTATATATATATATATATTATATATATATTATATATATTATATATATGATACATATATATATATATACACTATACATTTGCAACAACTACTATATCTTGTACATGTACCTACAATGAACTATGATGAACTATGCTCCAAAAGAGCAGCGACCAGCGTCCTGCATTGGAGCGTTTCTTCTCTCCGGTCTCGTCTATCCAGGTTTCGGCCTGGTCAGCCAGGCCAAACCCAGGGGAAGCCATCGATGGAGATGTCTTTGAATCTTGGAAAATATCTTTTTAATCGATGAATCGATAGATGAGGCAACATGGTCCCAGATCTTTTCCGTGGGATGGCAAATACTGCTGGGGCTAGTTACATACCGATACAACCAGATACAACCTACCTCTGACTATCAGGAAATGAGTTTCTTAGTTGGTAATAAAAGCTATCTTTTGAAGGTTTGTATCAATTACAGTACCTTCCGGAAAATTGTGACAGTTTTCCATGGAAACCCACTGACTTAGATGAACAATAGCTATTTCAGAAAATCCTGATGTCTGTCCGCAATTTTTATGGTGTAAACCAATCGTTTTACCCTCTTGTTATTTAACATAGCCATGGTATAGCTGGCGCATAGAAATAGATGGTTTACCTCTTAAACATGCTGATTTTCCATGGCAAACCGTTAGTCATAACCAAAGGGTAAACATTTTATGGTGACCAATGTGGGATCCCATTGGATTGGCCGCTCTCCTTGACCCCGAAGGAGTGGGGCAAGTCTCCCTGACCCACAACGCTGGGCTCCGCCGCTTCCGCCCTCCTGGGTTCAGAAATTTGGGGATTGATCCGATGAAAAACATGAATCAGAGGTTCAGACAACCATAGTGACTAATGGTGATTTAATGGTGATTTAATGGTGATTTAATGGTGATTAATGGTGATTAATAGTGATTTAATGGTGTTTTAATGGTGATTTAATAGTGATTAATGGTGAGTAATAGTGATTAATAGTGATTTAATGGTGATTTAATGGTGATTAATGGTGATTAATAGTGATTAATGGTGATTTAATGGTGATTTAATAGTGATTAATGATGATTTAATGGTGATTTAATGGTGATTTAATGGTGATTTAATAGTGATTAATGGTGATTTAATGGTGATTTAATGGTGATTTAATAGTGATTAATGGTGATTTAATAGTGATTAATGGTGATTAATAGTGATTTAATGGTGTTTTAATGGTGATTTAATAGTGATTAATGGTGAGTAATAGTGATTAATGGTGATTTAATGGTGATTTAATAGTGATTAATGGTGATTAATAGTGATTAATGGTGATTTAATGGTGATTTAATAGTGATTAATGGTGATTAATAGTGATTAATGGTGATTTAATGGTGATTTAATAGTGATTTAATTGTGATTTAATGGTGATTTAATGGTGATTTAATAGTGATTAATGGTGATTAATAGCGATTTAATGATGATTTAATGGTGATTTAATAGTGATTAATGGTGATTAATAGTGATTAATGGTGATTTAATGGTGATTTAATAGTGATTAATGGTGATTAATAGTGATTAATGATGATTTAATGGTGATTTAATAGTGATTAATGGTGATTAATAGTGATTAATGGTGATTTAATGGTGATTTAATAGTGACTAATGGTGATTAATAGTGATTAATGGTGATTTAATGGTGATTTCATAGTAATTAATGGTGATTAATAGTGATTAATGGTGATTTAATGGTGATGAACAACAAAAAGAAAGGATTGGCGGATTGAACATACAAAATCCAGGGAATCTGCAAACAAACGATGGAACGAGGCACCGATCAACTGAGGAACTGAGGGAATCAATGCCCCATAGAACTATCCTTCACCAGTCGGTTTGTATACTTAAACTAGAGATGATTACAGTAACTATATCCTGATTTTTTGGTGCTTAAGGCCACAAAACCATGTGTGAATTCCAACATTTGTGGCTGGTTGACTTATCATTCGCCCGCTACTTTACCCAAATGTTGATTGGTGAAACATGGTTAAACCTGATTGTTTACTACTGAAACATGCTTAAGCGACAAGTTCCCCATGTTTGTTGTCAAAACCCAATTTTTGATGTGTCATTCCCCATTGTTGAAATGATATCCCAGTTTTTGCTGGGTTGAACACGGTTTCAGCATCGTTCTTTCGTTCTCCCCATAAACATATATCTTGAACCTGGATATCTGTTGGTAAATTCCACTGTTTGTGGTCGCATCCCCGTTCTTGATTTGTTTTTCCCCCAATCCAATTTTTTGTTGGTTGATTGCAGCTCAAGAAAGCTGGTTTACCTCTAGTTTGAAAGTCACATTCCGATTTTTGCGGGTTTACGCACCATCATCCTTGCTGCTTAAATCATGCCTCTAGATCTGCTGATTAAGAACCTCATTTTCCTTATCAAAATGCCCTTGCCGGAGTGTACCCCCAAATCGCCATCTAATAGTGTGGACATTGAGGTCCTCAACCAGTGGATGGAATTGGGTCTTCTCCTACATGTTCATATCAACCCACATCTTTCTTCTCACCCTCTGGTAATCAAACATGGTTTGCTGGAAAGTCCCCCAGCATTAGTTCTATGTATGTATGTATGTATATATAGATATACACACATATGTAAATATATATATATATACATATGTATAGATGCCCATGTAGTTCGGGGATACAGCTAGCCATGTATCTGACGACACGAGAGGGTACGTGTAAGTCATGTTGAAAACATTATATATATATATATGATCAATCCGGCTCCCCAACTTGCAGAGAACGAGCAAATGTGGTGGATTTTGATTTTGCCACTTCATGCCACTTCATGCCACTTCATGCCACTTCAAGTGGCGTGCCACTTCGAGTGGCGTATGCCACTTCAAGTGGCGTATGCCACTTCGAGTGGCGTATGCCACTTCGAGTGGCGTATGCCACTTCGAGTGGCGTATGCCACTTCGAGTGGCGTATGCCACTTCAAGTGGCGTATGCCACTTCGAGTGGCGTATGCCACTTCGAGTGGCGTATGCCACTTCGAGTGGCGTATGCCACTTCGAGTGGCGTGCTGACTGTGTAGCCTTCGAGTTCCGAGTGGCGTATGCCACTTAAAGTGCAAGCTTTGTAGTACAAAGTAGTACTGGGAAGTGTTTTCTGCAAGCTTTGTAGTACAAAGTAGTACTGGAACGTGTTTTCTGCAAGCTTTGTAGTACGAAGTAGTACTGGCGAGTGCTTTGTGCAAGCTTTGTAGTACAAAGTAGTACTGGGAAGTGGTTTGCGCAAGCTTTGCAGTACAAAGTAGTACTGGGAAGTGCTTTGTGCAAGCCTTGTAGTACAAAGTAGTACTGGGGAGTGCTTTGTGCAAGCTTTGTAGTACGAAGTAGTACTGGGAAGTGGTTTGTGCGAGCACTGCAGTACAAAGTAGTACTGGGAAGTGTTTTCTGCAAGCTTTGTAGTACAAAGTAGTACTGAAACGTGTTTTCTGCAAGCTTTGTAGTACGAAGTAGTACTGGGAAGTGCTTTGTGCAAGCTTTGCAGTACGAAGTAGTACTGGGGAGTGCTTTGTGCAAGCTTTGTAGTACGAAGTAGTATTGGGAAGTGGTTTTTGCAAGCTTTTGTAGTAGACATCGGTTACTGGGAAGTAGTTTGTGCAAGCTTTGCAGTACGAAGTAGTACTGGGAAGTGGTTTGTGCAAGCTTTGTAGTACAAAGTAGTACTGGGAAGTGCTTTGCGCAAGCTTTGTATTACAAAGTAGTACTGGGAAGTGGTTTGTGCAAGCTTTGTAGTACAAAGTAGTACTGGGGAGTGCTTTGTGCAAGCTTTGTAGTACGAAGTAGTACGAAGTAGTACTGGGAAGTGGTTTTTGCAAGCTTTTGTAGTAGACATCGGTTACTGGGAAGTAGTTTGTGCAAGCTTTGTAGTACAAAGTAGTACTGGGAAGTGTTTTGTGCAAGCCTTGTAGTACAAAGTAGTACTGGGGAGTGGTTTGTGCAAGCTTTGTAGTACGAAGTAGTACTGGGAGGTGCTTTGTGCAAGCTTTGTAGTAGGAAGTAGTACTGGGAAGTGGTTTGTGCAAGTTTGTAGTACAAAGTAGTACTGGGAAGTAGTTTTTGCAAGCTTTGCAGTACAAAGTCGTACTGGACCGTGTTTTGTGCAAGCTTTGCAGTACGAAGTAGTACTGGGAAGTGGTTTTTGCAAGCTTTTGTAGTAGACATCGGTTACTGGGAAGTAGTTTGTGTAAGCTTTGTAGTACAAAGTAGTATTGGGAATTGCTTTGTGCAAGCTTTGTAGTTCAAAGTAGTACAGGGAAGTGTTTTATGCAAGCTTTGCAGTACAAAGTAGTACTGGGAAGTGTTTTGTGCAAGCTTTGTAGTACAAAGTAGTACTGGAACGTGTTTTGTGCAAGCTTTGTAGTACAGATTAGTACTGGGAACTGGTTTTTGCAAGCTTTTGTAGTAGACATCATTACTGGAAAGTGCTTGTTATGAAAATAGCCAAGAAGATCTTAGCTGACATATGGGAAGACATGGAATGAGATGAGAAGAGCTCCGATGAGATGAGTTGAGATGAAGTGCAAGTGTGAAGTGTGGAGTGTGGGGTGTGAAGAAGGCAATGTGAAGTCTGAGGAAATTGTTTGCATTGCACCGGTGTCGCGCGCAGGTCATGTTCGTATGTTCTTGGCCACAACACTGCAACAGCTTCGCACGAAGCACGCACGCACGGGCCTGGCTGGAGCACGGCGCATGCAAGGTCCTTAGTAGTACGAGTAGTACTGGGAAGCGATTCATGGAAGCTTGCGTGACATATGAGAAGAGATGAGATGAGAAGACATGAGCTGGGATAAGGTGAGAAGAGCTCAGATGAGATGAAGTGTGGAGTGTGAAGTGTGAAGAGTGCAGTGAGAAGTGTGGGGCGTGAAGAGTGCAGTGTGAAGAGTGAAGTGTGAAGTGCGGACTGTGAAGTTTGAAGTGTGAAGTGCGAAGTGTGCAGTCTTAAGAGCGCAGTGTGAAGTGAAGTGTAGAGTGCGAAGAGTGCAGTGTGAAGTGTGAAGTGTGGAGTGTGAAGAATGCAGTGAGAAGTGCGAAGTGCGAAGTGGAGCTGCAAATGTGACGTGCGAAACAGGACACAACTTTCGCAGAGTGCACGCACGCACGGGCCTGGCTGGCGCACGGCGCATGCAAGTTCTATAGATGAGAAAGGTCTTATATATCCTTAAGGCAACTTCCGCCTCGCTTCGTGCGGGTACCACTGGTATTTTATTTGTGGTCTGGCACATTTGTCTTACCCACCGGCCGTCCAAATTTGCTGCCGATTTGTCAGCCTGTTGCGAATCAGGAACCATGGTTGTTCCGGAAAACAACTGATCGCTATTTCCTCTGCGGCATCGTGGGGGACGAGATACTCCCCACCACGAACCGTGGTGGCAGTATCTCGTCACCCAATAAATTTCACAAACTCACTGGGGAACATCCTCGTCACCTAAGAAACTTGAAAACTCACTGGGAGATATCTAAAATTGCCATTGGTGGTGGTGGTGGTGGTGGTGGTAGTAGTAGTAGTAGTAGTGGTAATGGTAACAGGAGTAGTCGTAGCCGTAGTCGTATTAGTAGAAGTAGTAGTAGTAGTAGTAGTAGTAGCAGTAGCAGTAGCAGAAGTAGTAGTAGCAGTAGCAGTAGTAATAGTAGGAGTAGTAGTAGTAGTAGTAGCAGTAGTAGAAGTAGTCGTAGCCGTAGTCGTAGTAGTACAAGTGGTAGTAGTAGCAATAGTAGAAGTAGTCGTAGCCGTAGTCGTAGTAGTAGTAGTAGTAGTAGTAGCAGTAGTAATAGTAGGAGTAGTAGTAGTAGTAGCAGTAGTAGAAGTAGTCGTAGCCGTAGTCGTAGTAGTACAAGTAGTACAAGTAGTACAAGTAGTACAAGTAGTACAAGTAGTACAAGTAGTACAAGTAGTATACAAGTAGTATACAAGTAGTATACAAGTAGCAGTAGTAGAAGTAGTCGTAGTCGTAGTCGTAGCCGTAGCCGTAGCCGTAGTAGTGTGTGAGCTTGCCACTTCATGCCACTTCAAGTGGCGCATGCCACTTCAAGTGGCGTGCCACTTCGAGTGGCGTATGCCACTTCAAGTGGTGTATGCCACTTCAAGTGGCGCATGCCACTTCAAGTGGCGTGTCACACCGTGAGCATGCACTTCATGCCACTTCATGCCACTTCAAGTGGCGTGTCGCACCGTGAGCATGCCACTTCATGCCACTTCATGCCACTTCAAGTGGCGTGAAGTGGCGTGAAGTGGCGAAATCGGTTTACGCACCTCCTGCGTGCTCAATGCCAACTTGGCCAGCAGACATATTTTGTCAGGCAAAATCTAGGTCACGACAGGATGGCTTGACGCCACAGAAGAAGATGCATCCGACCACTCCATGCTTCGATGATGTGAAAAAGCAAGCAAGCCAACTGTAGTGTGCACACCAAATCTCACCCCGACTTCGGAGTCTGCTTAGCAACATTGCATGCCAAAGTTGATGCTAAAGTCGATGGATAAGGTTCTGCAAGCTTAGTCAGAGAAACGCCCTCACGATTTCCGTGCAGTAAACAATGTTTGTGACCACTACGTGAACAAATTCTTCCACCAGAACAAGTTTTGAAAGTGACCGACAAACTATCACAGCAAAGAAAATACGTGGCTCCGCGCCAAGGCACGCCATATTGGCAGAAATCTGCACGTTGGAGGTGGCAATGCTTCTCGCTTTTGATGTGATGTGTCAGCCAAATTCTACTGGCAACTGGGCTTTCAAAGCACCACGGCACACCAGCTTTTTGACAAGCCCTAATCACACGCACTGATTGCCTTAGCAGCGCGTTGCCAAGAAGAACTTTGCGACGAGCCATCTGACTAAGGTTGGGGTACCCCATGAGAAACTGCGAATTGTCTCGCAAAGGCTTTGGACCATGGCTGCCATCGCGCCTTTCCAGGGACCAGGAGCTGCGTGGAAAGCCAATGTGGACAAACTGTATAGCACCCTGCTTGATGCGATCCAAGATAGAGCAGACATGCCTATCCAGCGTCAGGTCGCAGGAATCACCATACTGAATATCCCAAGGCTCCACATGCCAGCCTAATCGCCCCAATGCCCGCGAAAAACGAGCTGATCCACAACAAAGTTCCAAAGCATAGCCTCGGCAATGTTTCATAGGCCCAAAATGGCGTGGACCTTGCCCGGAAGAGACTGAACTGCGCTGTGACATTTTCGTTGAACACTTTTGGGAAGACTGTCGAATGCGGTTGCCACAAGAGCTTTTTTCTCGTATCGGCTCATTGAGGAGTCTGACTCCCATCGTCCCCGCATTTTGACTTCCAGCTGCGTTCGGAAATTCTTGAACCGATCCCAACTGGCGCCTGAGTGACGCAGCTGGTAAGGGGTTGAATGCTTTTCCGGCAGCCCTATCTTTTGAAGAGCACCTTTCCACTGAGTGAGAAACTTGCTGTATTCCACTTGAAAAAGCAGCTGTGTGGGAAGAAGAGGCTTTGACATCTTTTCCAAAGCTTTGCCCAACCATGGCAAGGCTCGAGAGTCCAGGGAGATGTTCTCGTCGGCTACCCCCATTTTTGAAGTCTCGAACTCTTCCTCGCGGTTGAAGACAAGCATCCAGGTTGCCGCCAAAGACGTTGAGCTGAGAAAATCTTTCTTCTGTAGCCTCAATGTCTCTGTGGGCCTGGAATAAGTCACAAACATGGTCAGAGCCAACATGGCGCTGAACATATGGCCCTGCTCTAGCATGGTTTGCGCAATCAACGCTATCAGAGGCCAAGGCAAGGGAGGACGACTTCGCCCTGGATCCAGATTCTTCCAACCCTTCAATGCTCTTCGTGCTCGTGGCAGCTTGTGTTTTGCTGCCGCCTCTGGGCAACTGTCGATCACAGCTGCCAGATACTGCGTTGCCTCTGCCAGCTCCATCCCATCGTTGAAGCATTGCTGCAGGAATGTTGTCAAGCTGGGATCGAGGTTTCTGGGCCCTGTGGTGGAGATCCAGTGAAGAAGGCAAAACTTTTTGAACACCTCCATCCTGAACTTGTAGTCTGCAGCAGTTCTCGGAGAAATTGCAGATTGCTCCAGAAAAGTTTGGCCAGGTTGTCGGGGCACTGAGAGGGGCTCTGCCATGAGTCGCCTTCGCTTCTCGCTGCGGCCAATTTCTGTCTTGTCTGCAATCCTCCTTCTTACTTCTGCAGGACTTGGCATCTTTGACAACCCTTTGTAAGGCTGAATGGACTTCTTCAAGCGATTCACCACAGAGTCCGGTTTTGCACCGGGTGGAATCCGCTCTTTCTTTTGACCCCGGGTACAGCATCTCGTAGCGGGTTTTCTTCGCACCGCGTTTTGAGGCATGGCTATGAGACTCAAAAATTCTAGATGGCTTATCTGCAACGTTCAATTCTGAAGGGACCCACCTAAAATGAAATTCGCAGTTCATAGCAAGTGCGTGAGCAGCGCTGCGCCTACACTGAAAAAGTAATGCTTTGTTTTTGGCACGACCCCGATCAAATGCAAGCGTCATCCCCAAATTGTCATTGAGGTGAACATGTCTAGCTCCAAAATGCTCAGAACTCCGGGCTTTGTGTCTCAAAGCTTGCACCACACCTCGACCTTCGAGCAAAGTAATATGCTCTGGCATGCTCATCCGTGCTGCAAACTCCACGCTCCAATCATCAGGTTTAAGAAGGTTACTTGGGACTTCTTGAAAATCTAGGTTGAGTTGGAATATATCCAAAATTTGCGGGTGAGCTGTTGAATCATCAATAGGCTTTGCAGTTTCTGGGTGCACAAAAGGGTCCAACCCTTGAACATGATCTCTCGCGCGCCCTGCGCCGCCTATTGCCCTAAACCGCCACAATTCCCTCTGCTGCCCCACCTGCTGCACATGCTCCTTGCTCCACGTAGTTGAGCATACTGCAGTGCCGGTGAGGCTGGCATCGCTGGCTGATACCTTGGAGGACCAAGGGCGACGTAGATCAGCAAAGCAAAGATCCAAGAGTGAAGCCATGCACAAAAACTCATGCCCTGCTGTTTTCCATAGTCGCTGCCTCTTGTTATAAGAAACAACCTTGAAATCATACACTGCACGGAATATCGAAAGTAGCTCTCGACGCAACATGCAGAAATGAACACAGTGTCCAATGATCCTTTCAACCATTTTGCCAGAAACACGAGGGCATTTTGCTAGCCACAGAAGAACCTGCCTGACCTTTTGCAACTTGTCCGGTTTTGGAAAAACTTTACCCCGCTCACCATCAATGAAAAAACCCAGGGATTCCGCAGTTGTCAGAGCCTCTTGCTCCTCATGTATTCGAAAGCCCAAGGACTCCAAATGTTTGACGATCTTGTGTTTTGTGGATTGCACCGCATCTTTGCAACAGCCTACAATATTTAAATTGTCAGCATACGGCACTAACGCCACCCCAGTTGACTTGGCCTGCCATCGACTAGCACTCTGTCCACTCCCAGACCAGCGGCGAGCATGCTCTGATGTTGATGGACGCGCTGCGCAATGAACATTGCCCAGTTCCAGCCCATAGGCACGACCTTCATGGCCGGAAACACAAGCAACGAATCACCAGAGTGGGAAAGGCAGAGAGGATGGTCAGGGAGAATCTTCTTCAAGTCAAGCTGGGGAAGTGCAAAGTAGGGTCTAAGGCTCACTGGCATGCCAATAGAATAAAAATAGTCACGTATATCCGTTTGCGCAATGAACATGGACTGGCCATCCGGAATTTCCAACTGAGAGAAAGAATACCCGGCTGGCAACGCTATGTCTGGGGGATCCTTGAAAAATGCGTTGGATGCCCTGCAATCAAGAACCATTCTCAACCGACCAGATTTCTTGATAACGAAAAAAGGTGTGACAATTGATTTGGCTTCAGTCAGAAAATCCAGCATGTTTCGATCCCAAAGGTCCCTAATAAACTCTGCATACATAGATGGAGAGGCTTTCAACTTCACATCCATGTAGGGCGTGATGTCACCCGGCAACTTCTTGGGTGGCTCTTTTTCAACATCACGAAGCATGGTGTCGTGGTAGGCCACGAGAATCTCTCGCCCAACCTCATCAACCAAATCGAGTGCATCGTGGGTCAGTGCGCCCGGCTCTGGCAGTGAGACCAGGGGTTGTTGGAATGGCCTAACGGTTGTTGTCCCCGAATCCTCAAGCTCCACATAAGCACTAGAGGGGCGGTAATGCAGAAGCTCACAAACGGCTTCACGCATAGGAGTGGTTGAATTAGCCCTTGGCCTGTCAATCATCGCCTGCAAGATACCATTCATCGCACGTTGCTGAGTCACAGTAGGTGCTCCCTGCTTGGCAGACAGACACCCAGCCAAACTGTTAATGGCACCAATTGCATCATTCGCCCGGCAGACATTCTCATAACGTCTTACCTGACAGCTTGCAACGATCCGGAAATTTGTGCGCCTCACCAAGACCGTCTGGCTCAAACAATGGCAATGGCAGGAGATCCCGCTGGCGGGACTGACATGGATTCGTCATCAAGGGAGAATACAAAAAGTGGGAAAATCGGAACCGTGTTGAGATCCCTGGGCACAAAAAACAAAACCAGAGAGCCGCGCCCTAAACTCTCCAGCAAGTCGGCAGAAGCTACTTGGCCTCGGCAGGGGCCCCTCGACCCCAGCCTGTGGCGTTAAAACCTCGTCTTCGATTTCCATACTTTCATCTGACCGCAGGACGGTGCGTAGACTGGGAACTTCTTCAGGAAGCTCGTCCTTTGCGTGTTCTTCGGTGTCATCATCTATTTCCAATCTTACATTTTCCGCACAAAACATTTGCCACATGCCTGAAAGTTCAGTGTTTGTACTGTGCAACATATCTTCTTCAGTCTGACCCCACACCAATTCCGCTACACCACCGATACTCAAACCTGTCCACATGGTCAATTGCTCTGCTCCGCCTTTGTTGTTCTTCTTCTGCGCCATTTCTTCCCTTGCCTTTCTCGACTCTTTGGCAATCTGTGCCTGATCCTTGAGCTCTGCCGCCACAAATTTTGCCAGCTCAGTGTGAACTCCATCGCCTCTCCTGTATTCCCATCCCATGAAAATGTCTGATGCACTATAGTCGGGACTTGTGGGATTGAGCCGATGTGCTTCCCGAATAACTTGCCAACGCCGGACAAGCAGTTCACAGCCTCGACTGTTGGGAATATTGATCTGGTCTTGTGTTGCGAAGGCTTCCAAAGCTCTGGTCAACACCTCCATCTCGTAGAGGGACCGGTCGCCTTTCAATGAGTCATGCGTTCGAACCCAGTGTTCGTGGTCGGTGACTGGCGTCAAACCACGCGCCACCATACCTTTCAACACTGGCAAGGCCGAAGGTGGGCCATCAAGCATCAAACCACCACCCGGCATGGTGTCGGTGTCCTGGGTCATGCGGGCCACTGCCTTCCCAAAGTCAACCTTGCGCTGGCCTTCCTCATCGAACTGCATTTTGAGCACACGGACATCGCGGACCTCCATGGATGAGATCTTGTCCTTGGAGACTTGTTTCACATAGAGGGCTCCTGTTCCAACAGGGATCAATGCCTTGCTAACTCCCAAAACAACAGCTCCTGCAGGTAGGGGAGTACCCACATCGCAAATGATCTCTCCAATTGTCTTGCCATGATCTTCTTCCATAGAGACCCAGACTAGAGGCTCTGCAGGTTGAAAAGGTCCAGCTTGAGCGGGGGCAGGTGCTAGTCCAGGAGGAGGAATGCCCATCTGGACACGGATTGCGGCTGCATACTGCCGTGCAGAATTCATGAGGTCCTGATACTGCTGCGCGATCATGGCTCGAAAACCATACACATGGTTTGGATCCACTGTGGGAGGAAGAGGCGCACCAATCCCCCCAAGACCAGGTATCACTTCTACCACGTCAGGATTCATATTGTCAAGCTGCTCTTCATAGATATCATGGTCCGGGGTTATGATGCACCACAAAGATCCACTAATTTGCGCGCCCAGCAGCCTGCAGTGCACCACTGGAGGCATTTCACCATAGTTGATGAACCAAATGTCGCCTTCTGACATGCTGCTTTATCCAGTGATGGACAAGGGATTGTGTGTGCCGTAGATCCCACGCTTCCCCTTTCCTTTGGCTGGAGGCTGCACCTCGTGACCCACCAGAGTAGCTTTGATCACAAGAATTAATCCAACTCCGACAATGATGCCACAAAGCAATGCAAGAGCAAGCTCTCTCCAGATTGACTGACCACTTGATGCTTTGTCCCCCGTCCATGGGTCCCCGTACACTCGCAGTGGCAAACAACTGGGCTAGGATTCGGATTCACAGTCTCTGTTTTAAAAAGAAAGGACAATCCAACTCCAACACCTGCTGCGAATACACCACCAAGGATCAAGGGGTCCATGGGAATCTACCTATCACCACGATGATCTTGAGATCAAAAACAAACGGCCACACATTGGAACCTCAAATCATTATCGCCCTTCCATGCTTCCAGGACTAGTCATATATATATATATATCCCATCACTTCCCTTTCATATCACCATATTGGTTGGTTAAATCCTCATATACGGTTGATTATAGTAACCCCCAAAAAAAAAGCCGAAAAGTGTTACAGTTCAATTATGCGTTCTTCATCATTTTTAGGTTTCAAACCTGAAAATGTAGTCAAGCCTCATATTTTAATTTTGGGTGTAGTTGGGGTTATAAGTGTATAGGTAACCATAGTTATAGGGCTTGTACATCGCAACTCTTCTATCTATGACGTGAGATTGCTATAAATATGCCATATTACCCCGTATTTATATATACCCATCTAAAACCTCCAAGATATCCAGTCAACCCCGATAATTGTTGCTTAGATCCCCACTTACGGTTAAATCACCGGTCAAAAGCCCACAATTCCTGATGGTTTCTCACCATTTATCTAGCTAGATTACCATATATATATACTCCCAGTATACCCCCATTGTATATTATAAAATGGTAGTATATTACCGTATGTATGTATGTATGTATGTATGTGTGTGTGTATGTATGTATGTATGTATGTATGTATGTATGTATGTATGTATGTATGTATGTATGTAGGTATGCATGCATGCATGCATGCATGGATGGATGGATGGATGTAATGTATGTAACGTATGTAATGTATGTAATGTATGTGATGTGTGTGTGATGTATGTAATGTGTAAAATGTATGTAATGTATGTAATGTATGTAATGTATGTAATGTATGTAATGTATGTAATGTATGTAATGTATGTAATGTATGTAATGTGTATGTATTGTATGTAATGTATGTAATGTATGTATGCATGCATACATGCATGCACGCATGGGTGGTATGTATGTTTTGTATGTTTTGTATGTTATGTATGTCATTTATATATATATGTATGTAATGCAATGTAATGCAATGTGATGCAATGTAATGCAATGTAATGCAATGTAATGTAATGCAATGTAATGTAATGTAATGCAGTGTGATGCAATGTAATGTAATGCAATGTAATGCAATGTGATGCAATGTAATGCAATGCAATGTAATGTACTGTAATGTAATGTAACGCGATGTAATGCAATGTGATGCAATGTGATGCAATGTGATGCAATGTAATGCAATGTAATGTAATGCAATTTAATGTAATGTAATGTAATGCAATGTAATGCAATGTGATGCAATGTGATGCAATGTATGGGAATGTAGTGTAATGTAATGTAATGCAATGTGATGCAATGTAATGTAATGCAATTTAATTTAATGCAATGTGATGCAATGTAATGCAGTGTAATGTAATGCAATTTAATGTAATGCAATGTAATGCAATGTGATGCAATGTGATGCAATGTGATGCAATGTGATGCAATGTAATGCAATGTAATGTAATGCAATGTAATGCAATGTGATGCAATGTAATGCAATGTAATGTAATGCAATGTAATGCAATGTGATGCAATGTGATGCAATGTAATGTAATGTAATGCAATGTGATGCAATGT